TATATATATATATATATATATATATATATATATATATATATATATATAAAATAGATCTTTTTTCAAAAAAACAATTTAAGGTCAAATGACTATTCTATAACTATTAAGAATCATCAAACATAGAAACATATTCTTTATTTATATATTAAGTTGTCAACTGGTAAGTAACCTCGTTTAAAAAAGGGAAAATGACAATTTAGACCTACAAACTTTTGAGTTTTGTTTTAAAAGGCACATTATGTTTTCTTTTTGTACTTTAAAGGATTAAAGTCCAATTTTACTGGTTAAATTGATCACTTTACTTAGAACAACCGGTTTCATTACCCTGTAGAAAGTTATAATGACACCTAAGCACTGATTTAGTACGGGGATCCTTACATAGATTACATTTATAAGAACATGACCAACGTGGCTTACATATCTTAAATATGTGGCGTTTCAATTCATATTAACCTCGATGTGGAGCAAACCCACATACTCACCGACTAATTCAAAATCTAAATACACATATACAAACCCAACATCTTGTTCGACCATTGGTTGTAACGTTCCTCTTTCATACAATCCGTTGTTGCTACCATCCATCGACACAATCTACCGCTCCTTCTATGGTATATTCGATCCAACACCTACAAACATACAAATCGACTTTACGATGAATGTGATGCCGACACCAGTAGGTTAGAGCGATGCAGTGATTTCATCAGACATGGAGGTCGCCGGAGAGCTTAGATTCAGAACCGACGCGCCAGTTCATCACCTATAACACCTTATACATACATCTTCATCGCCAGTTTCAAGGAGAACACACCCATTTTGGGCTTCACTAATATCTAGTTTCCATGGAAGTTTTACTTGAACAAATATGTGTTTGTATGGGATCAGTGATAGATGCAATTAGTATGTATTTCTTATAGTTCTCTGTTTTTTTATTGGAATTCATACGCAATGTATTTGTGTGTTAACGTTTTTCTTCCAATCGTCACTGTAGAAACTCAAAATTAAAAAATCAAACAAGGGAAAAAATCCAAACTGAGGCTCTAATGGCAGTAAAATCGGGTATATATTTGTATGGGTTACTAGGTGTGTGTTTGTGTGGTATCTGATAGCAACAAAAACCACTCGTTGATTCACAACCTCCAAAAATCACAACACTACTACCCCTTCTTTGGGAAACCATAAATCGATGGGTTTTTGTGGATCATCTTCATCTTCAACTTCAAGAGATCTGGGTTTTGATGAACAAACATAAGGTCTTGAAAGCTTCGATTTGTAGAAATCTTGACCAGAACTTGTGAACCCAAAACACCCTAAAGCCCTGTATATGTGTGTGTGTGTGAAAAATGAGTTCTTGAGTTTCAGACAAGGATCAGTGGTGGAAGGAGAATATTGGCGTTATTGAAGAAGAAAAAGAGAAAATGTTTATCTATTAATGACAAGGCAAGGGGTAACCGAGTTACCCCTTCGTTTTTGTTAAAATGACTTTTTAACTCAAAAAATTCGAGTTTGTGCCTCTAGGGAAAAAACATCAGTGATTTTTTTTAAACAAATGGAAAAAATTATAGAGCTAAATTAACATTAATCCTTTAAAAATAAACGAAATAAACCTAGGGGGTGTTTACCAAAACATCTTATTAGCGGTTCCACACCGCTATAAGCTAAAAAAGTCTTTGGATAAAAATAACTTATAATGGTGGCAAACAGCTAATGAGTCATTTTTTCATAAATTAACTTCTCTAACTTATTAGCTTATAAGGTTATGTTTGGCAGACTAGCTGAAAAGCTAGCTGACAAAAAATAACATTTGGTGAAAACTACCTAACAAGCTAACTGAAAGATATAAAATGATATAAAAAGACATTTAGAATAATATATTTTTTATAATTAATTAAGAGTATATTTGGGAAATCTTAAAAAAAGCTCCTGAAAAGCTATTCAAAGTAGTTTTTTTTTTAAAGTTAGCTTATAAACTAACTTATCAGCTATTTTTTGACTTACCAAACATGACAATTTAAAAAAGGCTAATAAAATAAGCTAGTTTATCAGCTACCTGAGACACGCCAAACAAGTCTAAAACAATAAATAAACTATAAGCCAACTATAAGCCAATAAGTTTATTTTTATTTATTTATTTATTTTCTCAAGACAAAACTGCACAAATGGTCCCTGTGGTTAGCTGAAAATTGCCACTTTGGTCCAAAAATGTTTGGACTAGCACCAGAGGTCCAAACTTTTCATTTTGTTGCGAGTTTGGTCCAATTTGCTTTGGACTTTTTTATAATGACGATTTTTCCCTTACTTTTTGCTTTTTTAGTTTTTATTTATTTATTTAAATATATTTTACAATTTTCATAATTAAAAATAAAACAAAAAAGAAACTACTACCCCAATCCCCACCCCACCCCTCCCCCTCTCTCTCATACCACTACCGGTTATGCTATCACCACCACCGTCCGCCATCAAAACCACTGCTACCATCGCCGTTGGTCACTGATAACCGCTACTGCCATCGATCACCACCAACACCACAACAACATAAATTGAAACTCAAGAACTACTATCATTATCTGATGAATACAAACATATTTTTCCTGATCTGGAAAATAAAACATTACATTTTTAATCTACAACCTCAAAATCAAGAACAACTAGAGATTTAAACCCATAAGAACAATCAGATAGAGTGTGGAATGCATAAGATAATTATAGGTGGATCTGCACCTGATCTTCTTCGCATCTATGGATCTCTCTGTCTCTCTGTCTCTCTCTGATCTTCTTCCTCAAAAAACCCTTGTTTCAACGGAGTTGTACCTCTTCGCAAAACCCCTAGAGATGTCATCATCGTCACAACAAAGCTAGCGTCTCCGACGATTTGCTGAAAACTTAATCGCTGGCGGCATTGGGGTCGGCAGTGGTCAAGATGGACAAATCTTCGACGATAGAGGTGGCTTTACGTTTGCAAATCTTCGGCCGCAGTGGAGATGAACCCTCTGATCTAAAAATCGTTTAGTCAAAACCCCAGGTCACTGCCCTTCTCATTTCCGTTTTTAGCTTCAAGCTATGGAGACATTCATCACCGCCACTATCTTCATCTTCGTCGAGGTTTTCAGGCAGGTGGCATTCATCACCGGAGACCTCCCTATGCAACCGCCACCCATCATCTTCTCCGTTTCCCAGATCTGTTCACCAAACTTCAACGACATAGGGAGAGAGAGATAAGGGGAGTCCTTCGTCTTCTCGAATTTCTAGCTCCGATCTACTTCTGTCTCTCTTCCTCTCTAAATGTATCTCTTCATCTCCTTTCTATCGGCTTCAAGTGGTGGTGGTGATGCTACCGGCGGTGGCTTTTGGTGATGGTGGTTATGCTTTGATCGACGATGGCTTCAAGTGGGTGTTTACAGAAACAAAAAGGCATATGGGGTGTTTATATTTTTCTTTATTATTTATTTTTATATATAAACTTAATAAAGAAACTGAAAAAAAAACAGCAAGGGCAAATCTGCCATTTTATATATTTTCAAAATACTTTGGACCAAACTTGCAACAAAATAAAAAGTTTGGACCTCTGGTGCTAGTCCAAACATTTTTGAACCAAGTGACAATTTTCAGCTAACCATGTTTCTCAAACACCACTAAATCTAACTAAAGAAAACAAACTACCCATCCACTCACGCACCCACCTAGTTTTAGCGAAGTGCCCCCAAACTTTAAGATAGCCATTAGACTCCTCGAACTCTCCGAGAAAGAACGATAACTCCAAATGATGGGCTCATTCCGGAAACAATCGCAGCTCTCAAGAACTGTATCTTTCTAATCTATCTCTATACCCCTTAAGCCTTAAACCCTTCATATCCCTTGAATTTTTCTTTATTATAATCTTGTTTTTGCTCTTTTTGGTTCACTAGAAGCACTCACTGCTTTCTTGTGGATTGTTTTTGGCTACAGAAACAAGATAGGGGATGGTTGGGCCGGAGCTTTCAGCCGGAAAACTTCCTTCCGGGACTTGTAATCGGTTTCATTTTTGGTATGTTGTTGGATTTATCAAAACCGATCAAAAGGACTTCTAATACAATGAGAAAGGGCAGTGGATTTTCATCAAATTCAAGCAATCCTGATGAAAATCTCAAAATGGTTTGTCTTTTCCCATCCCCATGTTTCATTATGGCCCTTTTACGACTCTCGTAATAGCAAAATTTCATCCTTTTATGCTAAACATAGTTGTTTGTCCATTTTTTTGTTATAACCCCTTGATAATTGCTAATAATAACTTATTCCCATGATTTAGTTTTAATATCGGAGGTTTCTTGATCAACATGTTGCTTTAGACTAGTGATATACTTAACTATTGTAAATCTCTGAATTTTTTTAGGAAGAGGGAATACGTTTTATCTTCAGAGCCTTTGTATTTTGAGTGATAATTTAAGCATTTCCAAACTAACTTGCTATAAAGTGCTTGCTGATGTTAAGTTTTTTAATGGTGAAAACATTTGGTGTGCCTTGATTCAAGCTTTACTCTGTTTTTTTTTTTTTTTTTTTTTTTTTTTTTTTTTTTTTTTTTTTTT